AAGACTGTATATAACACCCATTAATCACATCAAGATACACGTATATAACATGCATATACCCATATCAATTACAGAAGTGATTTCCTACATTCGTGACATACCTACTGTGGCTTGATACAATCGGGGGTTTGTTTACATCTAACGACGACGTTGATCATCTCTGCCCTTCAAGATAAGCTACTCGGCAAAAAACTCCACACAGATAGGTAATAGCTCTTGCAGTAATGCACACGCCTTTATTGACGATCTGTTGACTGTTTTGTACCTGATTCTTTTAAAAAGACGCTGATACTAGAGATTATTAAATACAGAAAGTATGACTTTCGTGTGATAATCGTACTTGCGAAACACCTGTCGGAATTCAACACATCGTTATGACACAAGTCTCCTGTAGATCGGCACCTCATCCAGGTATAATCTTTCTTGCATAATATAATGTCAAGTAGAATCATTCTTGTATGGTAAACGTCAAAGAACAGAGGGTGATGAAACACTGGTTTAGTGTCAGACCAACATTCCACACACTCCGTTCCGCTAGAACTCCCTCATGTATGTACGATGTAAAACTGGTTAAAAATGTATATGTCATTATCACAGATACACATTGTTACCACCGTCCTCTGGCACATAATAGACGCATTTATTAAACACACCGACAAAGGACACAGGACACAATAAGCTTTAGCACTCTGAAATTCCAGACTACAATATCGGATATTAAGATCATTGTGTGATTATAGCAGTATTTGTACATTGTTGCAGATATACTTAGCGCATGTTGATATACACACAAAAGGTATTCTACAATGTACACTCACACATGTTCTAGACAGACCTGTATCTGTAGGCTGGACACAGATATATCGTCATCAGACAGGCACTTCAGTGTCGGGATCAATATTAAGTGTCTCAAAGGTTGGGCCCCTACACGTATATAACATGTCCTGTTTGTTAAGGTGTTTATGTTCGTATCGCTTATCAAAGGTGAGTGAGTGAGTTGGGTTTGATATGCATTCAGTTCTGTCACAGCCTGTCCTTTTACTGTAGGTGGAAAGCGCTAAGTTATATGGGCCGTGATAGTTGCCACTCAGGTAAAACGCACCGACATAGGTAAATACAATCAAGCAAAAATATAATACAATACAGGTAAATACATAAAACAATCAAGGTGTATACATAATACAATGAAGGTAAATACATAATACAATCAAGGTAAATGCATAATACAAACAAGGTAAATGCATAATACAATCAAGGTAAATACATAATACAATCAAGGTAAATGCATAATACAATCAAGGTAAATACATAATACAAACAAGGTAAAACATAATACAATCAAGGTAAATGCATAATACAAACAAGGTAAATACATAATACAAAAAAGGTAAATACATAATACAAGCAAGGTAAATACATAATACAATCAAGGTAAATACATAATACAAACAAGGTAAATGCATAATACAATCAAGGTAAATACATAATACAATCAAGGTAAATGCATAATACAATCAAGGTAAATACATAATACAATCCAGGTAAATACATAATACAATCAAGGTAATGCATAATACAATCAAGGTAAATACATAATACCATCAAGGTAAATACATAATATACTGAACATCATTAAAACGCACCACTTATAAAAGTTCAGAGTATTTAAAGCACGTGTAAGGAATTGATATTTTTTGAGTGGATAATAACAGATGGACGACTGACAAAAACAACAACACAGAAAAGACGCTCATTCATTGAAATGTTCCACAGTCAGAAAGGATCAAACACACGTGGGGTCAAATCGAAAAGTCAATATCGCGTGTGACCGCCATTTGCATTGACACATGCAGTTCAACGTCTCCTCACTGAGCCAATAAGCGTCTGAATAGAGTTCTTGAGGATGGCATTCCACTTCTTCAGTAGTGCAGCCTCAAGTTCCCGGATGTTTCGCATCTGTTGTCGCCGCGAAAGACTTTGACCAATTTCGTCCCACAAGTGCTCCATGGGGGAGGCATCTGGCGACTGTGCTGGCCAAAGAATAACCTGGATGTGTTGCTGGGCCAGATACTGCATGGAAGGTCTTGTTGTGTGTGCCCGTGCGTTGTCCTGTTGAAAAGTATGGACATCTTGGTAGTGATTGAAGACAGATACGATGTGATTCTGAAGAATCTGCTCACGGTAATAAAGGGCATTAACTCTCCCTTGACAGACATGAAGGCAGTCCTGTGATTGTAATTTATTCCACCCCAGACCATGACACTCCCACCACCCAAAGGTCTGTCTGAACCACACACTCATCAGCATAACGTTCACCACGTCTACGCCAAACACGTTATCGGCCAACAGCATTACGTAGACTACCACACCATGCCATTGTTGTAACCTTTACTGAAAATGCCTGCTAGCCTATTATATACGCTCATTACGGTGTCTGTCAGTCAGAATTGGTCCAACGTAAGGACGTTGAGCATGGAGCCCTCTAGCGTGTAGACGGCGTCGCATGGAGTCAGCGCTGATGACCCCCACGTCAACCTTGAACTAGTGCAGCAGTCCTGGCAGTCGGCAGTGTTCAATCACTAATATGGACACGGTCAATATGGCGGTCCTGATGGAGCGTCGTAACACGTTGTTGCCAAGGTCATTGAAGGTCACGGGTGCTGCCTGTCTACTGATGTCGTCTATGAAGCCTAACGATGGTGGAGTGGCCAAGTCCAAGTTGTCGAGCAATATCCCTGCTGCCGGTGCCAACCTGAATCATGCCTAGTGCACGTTCTCTTTTATGAGGTGTTAATCTCGGCATCTCTGTCCTCGTTTCACAATCGTTAGTGAAGCAATGAGAATTGGTTCTCATACACCTGCTTTTAATGTCACAGTCAGTATGATTTCAGAATGAAATTCGCGCTTTTTTCATGGCGTGGCTGCATGTTTGTGCATTTTGGAATTAAGAGTCATACTGTGGACAGGAATTTGTTTCTAAAGCATGTTTTCAACTGGACATGCCCTTCGACTTCATGTTAGTTATAATCAGTGATCATTGTCATGCTGAAATCCATCTTGATGAAAATATGGACAATTTTAGGCTGGTGCGTTTTCAATGATGTGTAGTATACAAGCAAGACCAATTTGGGATGCAATACGACTCGGCACAGCAATATGCGGAACTGCATACCCTTCTAGTCAATGTACGTCCAACATTTTTCTATATTTCGGTTCGTATTTGTAGGTGACCTGTTTCAACTAATTTGATAGCAGATAAAGATGTCTACGCATCACAGGTTTTCAGGTCCAATCGAGCATACGCTTTCTACTAAGGTTTCAAAGAACGCCATACTGATCAAGGTTACAACAATCAAGGCCCCAGTTAAGTCTTAAAGTTCTAATGGTAGGATGTGGAGGACATTCGACGCATCAATGACAAAAGATCCTGTTACAATTCCCCATATTGACTTGTAACATACTCTACCATTTGGTTTAGTTTGACTAGGTTGAAGAGGACATTCTCACTGTTTCATTAATACCTGATTCTGTGGGAACTGTAAATCGACTTTGCTCTTAGATATTTCTTAAGTATCGAATATCGTAAACTACTTTCCCGAGTATTCAGACAAGGAGTGGGACCTACGTATGCAGCAAGACGTACCCCAACGTATTTGTGACGTCAAAGTAAAGTTGAGAAACGCCTGTTTCACGATACAAATGTGTATTTGCTTTGACTCTAGACACAAGTATTGTAGAGACTAGACACGGGATGTTTATCACAGCAGATATATTACATTTATTACCCACGTGGTCAACGTATGGGTAGTTGCATACTAATCTCGTACGTCACACGAGTGTTGTATCGCGTTGACCTGTGTCGTAACGACTTGACCTGAGATTCTAACGATTTGATTGGATAACCGATGACCTCTCAATTAGGTCACATTCTGACGTAACTATTTTTTCATTCATAACAAACACGTGTCGCTGTTTAATTGTGAGTCGAACTGAGACATTATATCCGTCGAAAAACGTAAACGCAATGTTTCCACCAGTGCTGTTAGCCGAATGTAGCAACTGCAAACCAAGAAACGGGGTGCTACGGAGTAGTTTACTGTAGGATGCTGTACGAGGCGATGACAACTGACATGAATCGTGACGTCGGTTGCCAAGGCAGTGACGTCATTACAGTGTGACGTCACAGTACAAAACTCTTACGCAACCTCTTTATGAAACCGGTTTCGGTTTGAAACCAAAATATTATCAAAAATACGCTATTTTGTCAATTTAATGCATGTAAGACGTGGGTAATAAATAAAATACCACACTCGGTCTCATTACATACGAATTATACGAAACTCGTGACCTTCCTATGTTATCTGACCTCGCTTTCGCTCGGTCAGACACTCGTTTCGTATAATTCGTATGTAATGAGACCTCGTGTAGTATTCTCTATATATGTCACGACAGTGCAGGACGGAGCTGACTTTAACCATATTTTGAATACGTGGAGGAAATAGGCCATGTGAGCTACAGGCCAGAAACGCCAAGAAGGCACATATTACATATTTCTCTATTTCCATTGATTAACGTACCGAAAAACTAGAGCCCTCTAAGCCTCCTCTGAAACTGGAACCGCAGCAGGATTCACATTTGCAATTAGAAATCAACGAAAAATGTATCATAATACCATGTTGGGTATTTTATATTTTTCTCAGTATGTGCCTTATCGGCCAAGTGTTTTCAAATATTTGTGTTAAAGTGTTTAACACCATGCTGTCGATCCTTAAGGTCATACATTTTAAACAAGAACTTCTATATTTGATGTGGTGTATGGAACAAACTTTAAACCGTTTTCAGGAATATGAAGAGGCAAAACCCAATTACAATAGTGTTCTGCTTTTTAACAGAACATTTTTTTAGTTGTGATGTCGGGATTTTTGTGGGTTTTGTTTTTGGTTTTTTTTGGTAAATATTTTGTAAATAACCTTCTGATCTGAAATGCTGTGTTGTTTCAGAGCTGGAGTGTTTGTCACACCTCTGTCCGACTGGCTTTATACGCTACAAGAAGTTCTGCTTCCGGTTCGTCATGCACAGCAAGAAGACCTGGAGGGATGCTCAGAAGTATTGTCAGGATGCCGGCGCCAACCTCATCTTCCTCAACTCCACCAAGAAACAGGAGTTCGTCGCTAAACACCTCAAGGACAACTTTGGTGAGTTGTGAGAGTTGAAGAAATGAGACTAATGGCAAACGTGTTAGGACGAAAGGGACACTAGATGGGAATTAAGGATTGGCAAAGTGATTGGGAGTGATTGAGACACATATAGCGTATAAAATACTAGAGAGGGGAGAACGAGATAGTGAGGGATAGTGAGCTGTTGAGAACTGGACCCTCCATTTAGTCCTAGAAAATATCATGACATGAAAGATATGTTTTGACAGAGAAACAGAGAGACGTATCGATCATCGTTTCTGTCCAGTTTGTTTGTTTTAAACATATTTTATTCATGAGAAAAGGATTGAGTACAAGTTCTACAACTTAGAACACCCTCTCCGTAGTATTTACATACTATTTACATTCATTCTACAAGATGGACAGAGAAGAACAGAAAGATGGGAAAGAGAGGAACAATTGCAATAATTAAGAAAATCGTTTTGATTGACAAATATCTGTTTGAACAATTTTAAATATGTTTTGATTTATGTGAACAGTCAGATCTGCATTACCATGTAATAGTAACTCATAGTTTATATTCACATTGGTAACACTGCGTAAATTAGTCATCATGGTAGTTCTCTGTACCGTATATAATTGACAGTCAAATAGGTAATGATAAGATTTTTCACAAACATTTCCACAAGAGCAACTTGGGTTATCTCTTATACCAGCGCGGAATAGATAATAATTTCTGTCCAGTATAGTTATAATAGGCCAATCTGTACTTGATATATGTTGAGGGCATTTCCACGCCGTCCTGGCCTTCTCGTCTGTATATACTTCTAAATATGTACGCGCGATCTATTTCACGAAGGCATGTTTACGTCCAAGGGTAAACAACGTTTGAAGGTCGGTGTGCATGTTTATCTACTGTGGAAGATTTACATAGTATCAACGGCAGGGCTCCTTGATCATAACACCGCCAAGAAACGAGATCCCACTATTAAGCATTGCCTAGAACGTGGAAGAGTATATTTAGGTGTAGCCTGCACACGTTGTTCATGAAGGCTGAGGGAAGAGGGTCTTACAATCTTATCATTTTTTTAATAAAGCAGAGTTTCTACTGAAAGTTCGACCAGTGAATTATCAGTACCAGCAAGTTGTGTCAAGTCGTTTGCCAAATGGTTTTATGGATTTGGAATATGACAGCAATATAACAAAATCTCATTTCAATCATGGGACTCATTTCAACGCGTACAGCATTTTCCGCAACATATTTGGTACATTAACGGCTTTGAAAAAAGGGGGCATTTATTCCAAGAAAGGGACAGAAATACGACCATGCGTCGGGATTTGAATAAGGAGTGTTCGTCTATTGATTTCATAGCTCTGAGGTGTGTGTATATGATGTGAGGTGTGTGTATATGATGTGAGGTGTGTGTATATGATGTGAGGTGTGTGTATATGATGTGAGGTGTGATGTGAGGTGTGTGTATATGATGTGAGGTGTGTGTATATGATGTGAGGTGTGTGTATATGATGTGAGGTGTGTGTATATGATGTGTGTCGTCCCACTGTTTTGGTGACTCAAACGTTGACCAGGGTTACAGCATTCAATATCAGAGTCAAGCTATCCACACGATTTATAGTTTAAAGCATTTCCGAATTTGACACATCAGGGACAAAAGTAACATCAGTAACTTTAACCATATGTGTTTCAGATGAACACTTGACTTGCCTTGACATGTCGGAGATTCTACATGATAATTAGAAGAGGTTTTTGTCAGATGTATTTACAACTGGTAGAAATAATAATATTGGCATACCAACAGGTGTACCAACATATCCATTAAAGTATGAAACCCTACCCTCTTTGTTGTTAGGTTTGAAGTCTACCAAATATTGCAAGGCTTCCTACAGCCACATATAATTATACTGCGGTATTGAACGAGATCACATTTAAACAATTGTGACACGCGCCTCAAATGTAATGGCAATATCGACTAGGATGCTCTCCCTTAGGTAAAGGCCGTTGTTTGGCTAGGTAGCAGGCCGCGGTGTCCCGGCGCTGTTGGTGGACGTGCAGTGTGTCACTGTCAGATCTACTGTACATTGGAAGATATACGAGTGTGAATGTCGCCAACAGTATCGTTCATATTTACACACGTGTAGCTGCAAGCGCGAATGACACATTTACACATAATTAATCACTTTAAACGCAGCTATGGAAAGAATGTGTGGGTGGTTAAGTCTACTTCTGCATATAGTGCCCTTCATCCGACTGTTTATACTAACGCGAGTGGGCTTTCCTTGCTATATATGAATGCCAGTTTATGTCCAACGGTTAACTCTCATGGTGTCATGGCAAAATCATAAACATGTTTGGTTGACGTTTTAGTAATTGCACGTGAATACAGAGAAGTTCATTTGCTAATCAAGCAATTGTTTTTTGAGTATATGTTTCCGAGTTAAATGAGATAATCTTTGTTGCGTTATTATTGCTGTAAAACAACATCGGATTCGTACATTTGACGACAGTTTGTGTGTCTGTCAATAATTTAACGGTCAATGAAGTTATTATAAAAATATATTTTAGAAGGAATGGCTTCAATATGTTTTTGCATTCATACACGTGATGTAATTATGTATGTATGAATGTATGTGCGTGCGTGTGTGCGTGCGTGCGTGCACATATAAAGACAATATCTTTTGCCTCTCTCTCTCTCTCTCTCTCTCTCTCTCTCTCTCTATCTCTTTATACCGTCGGTATGCACTTTCATTACGTGTTACATAAGGAAAAAGTGGGACGGTGGGGTAGCCTAGTGATTAAATCGTTCGCTCGTCACGCCGAAGGCCCGGGTTCGATTCCCCACATGGGTATAATGCGTAAAGCCCATTTCTGGTGTTCCCCCACCGTGATATTGCTGGAATATTGCTAAAAGCGGCGTAAAACCCAAGTCACTCACTCACTCAGCAGAAAAAGTCGTTTAGGCGATTCGTTAACTTGTTTCACCGTTTGTTCCCGGAAAGGATGGGTCTGTACGTGTGTTCCCGGGTAGGATGGGTCTGTACGTGTGTGACATGGCTCAGTATGGTTTTATCATTTCATTTTTATTTTTGTGAATTTTTATGTTATAGTTTGCGGTGTATAGTTTCTTTTGAGCACTAGTTTATAGGTGCTATTTTCTCTGAGGCAGTACTGCAGTGTTATTGCTTTCCAGAAGGAACGTAACAATCACGTTGGTGTTGATTTAAAGTGTTGACCACTCCTCCAAGACGTCTCTGATCCTTTCAAATTCAACAGGAAGCACGTTGTGGGGGTCTTAATTCCTTTCGAATGATTAAGCGTTAGATCTACGAAGATTTAAACAAATAAATTAGGTGAGCTACAGAACGTCGTGTACTGTTGCTGCTATGCATCGTTGAATAAAGACCTATAACACGCCACCATCAATTGGCTATTGACAAAGACGAACGTCAGCATATGAGCTTAAGACTTTTCTGGTTCAACATTCTTAAGTTGCTAAAGCACACAGTGCATATTTATTTAACAAATTGTTGCGCTACACAAATGCATGTATTATTATGTACAGTTATTGTCAATGGGACGCGTGTAAGTATGGATTCGGCTGAGTATCTCCTATATCATTTGCAAAGAAATGAGGGCAATGTTACCAAATGCATTTCACATGTGTATGTGCCGAGAACATAAAACTGCCCCCTACTGTGCTGTAAAATGAATATATTTCTTTAAAGTTTTTCTTTACTTAAAAGCAGCCGAATCTGCCTACGTGTAGCCGTAATTCAACATTAACATATAGTTTTCATTCATTTTAAATGCACTACCCTGTCGCTGCTCCACCGATCACTTGATTGTCTGGTGTGTTTCCAGGCCACCGTCGCATGGCAGGGGTACTGGTATGCGGCGTCAGGCAATGCGTACTTGTTCCGCAAATTTCGTGAATAGCAGTACTACCGGAAGTATTGGATATACTAACCCTAATCGCGAACACCTGGTGTCATCACTGTTTTTCAGTGTCCCATGGCAGGAGTACTGGTATGCGGCGTCAGGCAATACATACTTGTTCCGCAAATTGTGTGAATAGCAGTACTACCGGAAGTATTGGATATACTAACCCTAATCGCGAACACCTGGTGTCATCACTGTTTTTCAGTGTCCCATTCATATAATTGTCGCTGCTATTTTGCCTTTACACCAAATGGAACCTATCTGAAACCTTTATCGTTCTCGTACATTGTGAGGATTCGACGTCTTTAGTGTTGGAGGGAGTGAGGGAGTTTAGTTTTACGCCGCACTCAGCAATATTCCAGCTATATGGCGTCGGTCTCTAAATAATCAAGTCTGGACCAGACAATCCAGTGATCAACAGCATGAGCATCGATCTGCGCAGTTGGGAACCAATGACATGTGTCAACCAAGTCAGCGAGCCTGACCACCCGATGCCGTTAGTCACCTCTCACGACAAGCATGGGTTGCTGAAGATCAATTCTAACCCGGACCTTCACGGGTCTTTAGTCTAGGAGGTGAACACTCTAGGCTGTGCTGGGCTGTGTTGTGAGGCGCTGCCAGGAGTATATTCAGTGCTGTTGTTGTTGTTGTTGTTGTAGGGATCGTGTTGTGTCGTCGACAGATCTGTATCACCTGGATTAATGATCATATTTTACCCAGAGTTATGTAAATAACACCACGTGAACGACAGCGTGGGATATCACGTTACATCATCGCCGCGTTGAGTTCGTAATTTCTCATAATTCATACTGCATAATGGAACCAATGACAACGTAATGTGCACCGTAAACGGAGATGTGGGTGGTGTCTGGAGTTTGTACATGTTTGATCACGTCCATACGGTTTCACAGTTCCATAACACAAACCAGAAAACCTCTTGGTAATGATTGTGCATTCTGGCATTGTGAAATGTGAAACCTTTTTTCATGGATGTACGTTACACAAGTACGAACCTTTGTATACAGTTACATGTTACAAGGTGTATGTATAACAAAAGAGGGGCGGTGGGGTAGCCTAGTGGTTAAAGCGTTGGCTCGTCACGCCGAAGACCCGGGTTCGAATCCCCACATGGGTACAATGTGTGAAGCCCATTTCTGGTGTCTCCCGCCGTGATGTTGCTGGAATATTGCTAAAAGCGGCGTAAAACCAAACTCAGTCAGTCAGTATAACAAGAGAATGTATACAATCTCCAGGTATTCAGGAGTTGTGTTGTATGCACACATCAATCAGGTTATACACATAATTCGGGGGTGTTTAGGGGATTTCCTGACGTGATGTTGCCGGGACATTGCTAAACGCGTCTTAAAACCATACTCATTCACCCACTCGTTGTCTCAACATCAACACGCTTTGGGCAGACACACGATAGCTGACTAAGCTGGAGTCTGCAGTCTCTACCTTGTGGTAACATTATCTGCTTAGTACACAAGGTATTTGAATGGTCGTCACCAGGGAAACGCCAGTCTTGTTTCATCAAGAACATTACATGCACGTCATCGTCCTCCAGAGAGCTCGATCATCTTGTTATGGATCATTTGTAGCGGATCGTCTTGTAATAGATCATTTCGTAATGGATCGTCTTGTAATGGATCATCTTGTAATGAATCCTTTCGTAATGGAACATTTAGTTATGGATCACATTGTAATGGATCATCTTGTAGTGGATCGTCTTGCAATGATGAATCATCTTATAGTTACCATCTTGTAGTGGATCGTCTTGTAATGAAAACTTTCGTAAGGGTTCAAGTTGTAATGAATCACCTTGTAATTTATCATCTTGTAATGAATCCTTTCGTAATGGATCACATTGTAATGGATCATATTGTAGTGGATCGTCTTGCAATGAATCCTTTCGTAATGGTTCATGTTGTAATGAATCACCTTGTAAAGATCCATTACGAAAGGATTCGTTACAAGATGATCCACTACAAGATGAGTAGCTATAAAATGATTCATCATTGCAAGATGATTCATTACAAGGTGATTCATTACAACATGAACCATTACGAAAGGATTCATTACATGATGAATTTATCATCTTGTAATGAATCATCTTATAGGTAATCATCTTGTAATGAAATATATCATGTAATAGATCCTTTCGTAATGGTTCATGTTGTTGCCGATCATCTCATTATCTTGCAATCGTTCATTTTTTAGTATTGTGACGTGAATTCTTGTATTCCCGTTTCCTGTTGTGATTGGCAGCACTGATTGTAATGCAGGCCATGCTTATCCTTTGGTCGAAATACCACGTGATATAAAGGATTTTCACCGATCCAGTCAGGTAATGTAACGACTAGTTTGTCTTCCAGAGGAATCTGTGTCGTCGGATATTCGAGACTGGTTATTTTCTGGTGATGACGTTTTATATTTAATGCAAACCTGTCACGTGACAATTGTACAAGAATTGCCTACAGTAGTCAAACGTCCTCTAGGTCACATTGTATGGATGTACGTTTGCTAGGGGTGACTAACACTGACTATTGAGCGGGGAAGCAGCTATTGCCGGATGTCTATTGCAACATAGTAGACTATAGCGACCAACTACTGCAACATTTCTTTTCTCCTTGAATTTTCTTATTCCGAAATGAATGTATAGTTTATATGAAATAAAAACAAGTTGAAGTAGTTTCAGTGTCTTTTAATAACCGACAAGAAACTTGAAATCCAGATCAAGTAAACAGTTAAAATATAAACTCAGTGAAGCTGTAAGTCTGCACTCTAAATCAAAGTGAACGAATCTGGTACTTCCTGTATTTTGCGCTGCGCATTTTTCAACGGAAGTCAATTACTAAACTACCGATAGTCACACGTACTATAGATGCATCGATAGTTTTTCGTTTCTACCATCGATTTATTTCTATCGGAGACTCAACAATTGTAATCCATTGATGGTTCCATGAATCGTTACAGCCCTAACGTTCACCATGTCTACATTCCCGTTACAGCCCTAACGTTCACCATGTCTACCTTCCCGTTACAGCCCTAACGTTCACCATGTCTACCTTCCCGTTACAGCCCTAACGTTCACCATGTCTACATTCCCGTTACAGCCCTAACGTTCACCATGTCTACCTTCCCGTTACAGCCCTAACGTTCACCATGTCTACCTTCCCGTTACAGCCCTAACGTTCACCATGTCTACCTTCCCGTTACAGCAAACGTTCATGCACCATGTCTACATTCCCGTTACAGCCCTAACGTTCACCATGTCTACCTTCCCGTTACAGCCCTAACGTTCACCATGTCTACCTTCCCGTTACAGCCCTAACGTTCACCATGTCTACCTTCCCGTTTCAGCGAACCATGCAGAGACCGTGTTCACCTCCGGCATCCACTGCGACGCCTCCTATCTACCATACAGCTGGGAGCCAGGGAAGAAGAAGCCCACCTACGACAACCTGCACTGGCGCTGGGAGGGCAAGAGAAGCATGGTCGGTACCGACCCCACAGACCTTCAGTGGTGTCATGGAGAAATTCCTACGAATTTGAAATTCACGGATCTCAACACGTGCCTCATTCTATCAAAGACTTGTGCCTGGAAGTGGTCTGCGGGCAAGTGTCAGGTGGAACGGCCTTTTATATGTGAAATGAAGTTGGACCCAGGGAAACGGACTTGTATGAACTGCTAGAAGGCAGTTGAATGTATGAAAACAGGGCGTGTGAACGGTTCGTTGTGTGTCTGTTGAAACCACTTAATGTGTAAAAGAACGTCATATTACAGTGTTTGTCAGTGGTAGGCTTTACGAGTTTATCGATGCGACACGTGTGGTCACGTCATCAGGACGTCTGTGAAGCCTGAATACCGCGAATGTTCGGAGTACAGATACTACGTCTCTGCATTTTATACAGTTCTCTTTTATTATCGGGCGATGGAAACAGAGTTCCGTAGACAGCGTCTGTAGCGGTGTGGCGGCTGCCTGGACGGTGTGACGGTGGACATCTGTACAACTAGTGTACAGTGTAGAACTGAAGTCAAACATGACCTTCTAAAGTTTAGAACATGCGCAGACGACACTGGCGTAGCTCGGGTTCTGGCGTGACGCTTTGGTCGGTTTACAGGAGGCACGCTGCAATCAGGTGAGCGTTGTTGTTGGAACGAACTGAAGACACACTCACACCCTGCATGGTGATGCTCTCGTTGGGATGAGTTGAAGACTTCTGTAGCACAGCAGATGGCGCTTTCCGCTACCTATCTGACCTTGACATTGCTCGGTAGTATGGGACCGAGGCTACAGCGTTGACAGTGCTGGACGTGTACTATTTTCAGCTTTTTTAAGAACCTGTACAGAAACCTTCGTGCCATATACAGATGTTTGGTGTAGTCAGTGATTAGTATGTACATCGTAGAGTCTTTGTTGTTTGTTTACAAACCACGTTATATTCAATCCTAGTTACTATTTCATTATGTTCATAGTTTTGTTTGTTGCCTATACGTTTGGCATGTATATGTTTTCAGAGGTGAGTGTATCGATACCATGTTGTCTCATGCCTACTGTGCAGGGGACTGGTCACTTGTTGAAGGGGACAGCTGGCAGCGTAATTGGTCTTAGGACTGAAGCATATATGTTTTTAGGAACAGCCCCCCTCAACCCCCTCCTTACACACAAACACAGATACAGACACAGATACAGACAGACACAGACATAGACACACAGACTGAGACACACAATTCTATCCACACACCCCAACCTATTTAGTTGTGATAAAAATACATACTCAAACACGCACATTCTCTCCACACCAACGCCTATATTTACGCGAAATGATGCTATAACTTCATACTTTTGGTTTTTAAAACACAGCACACACACACGCGCACAAATACACACACACTATAAATGACCAGTCCCTATGTGTATACAAAGTATTAACGTGTTTGTTAGGGTTAACTTTCCACTGGACAGTGTAGACAGACCTCAGGCAGCTGCTCCATCCTCAACCCCCAGCAGCATCACAGGGAACACATACATACCCCACACTTACACTTCTATACCGTTCATGACGACGATGCAGTGCTACACCTGAGTTATCAAAGTGTCTTATCCTACCAACATTTAAATAACTGTCAACGATTTGACACTCATTTTTAGCCATACTACCGGGTACGGTGAAACGCACTCAGACACACAGACTACACACTAAATCTCTCTCACACACACACACACACACACACACACACACACACACACACACACACACACACACACACACACACACACACACACACACACACACACACACACACACACACACACACGCGCGGCTTTATCTACGTCTCGTAAAGATTACACATAATCTGTGATATTTCTAGAACCATTTTTCTTTGTAGTTTATATACAGCATATAATTTTCTTGTCGCTATATAGCTCAAAAGTTGCTGATTCGACGTAACATCTTTCCTTAATCACACCTCGATATAAGTACGGGCCTGGTTGATCCAGACTTCTTCCTATGATCGATACGCTGTGAGCTCACTGTACTTTAATTAAATACGCATACCTTAGATGACTCGTAGATAGCTACAGAAAATGTAATTGGCAGGTTCATTCTTAACCTTCAGTATTGTCTGATTGTTGCCAGATAACTCACGGAGGCCAAAATATTAATGTGTCTTGTACAAAACAATTATGCGTTTTTTACTTCTGCAGACAAGGGTGGAAACCCAGCTGTTCATTCCCCTGGAGTCATAAGATGAATACGTGCTTCCAAAATGCAATTGCTTCCGTTAGGGTAATTATTTATAGATTACTTCCTTCCCGTATACTGTAGTATTTCCTATTTATCAACAAGAATGATTTTGTAACAATTGTTGACATTTGCCGATTTAATTGTTCTTTTACCGATTGTTATGGGTCACGTGATAGTGCTTCAATTTTAACCCGATTACTGGGCCGAAGAATCTGGGGTCTGTTATTTTGGATAGTTAGGCTGGGCAAAATCTGTGTAATGAGAGCTTCATAGTCATTCTAAGTAGGTGATATACGCAAGTATAACACACATGTTTGTATATGCAATCTTACTGAGGGAATATTCACTTCGACTGTATGAATATACTGACATTACATACCTGTTAAGATATTCCGGACATAAGTGATTATTCCCAAACTAACAGACATAGAAGTTAGGGCTTTGAATTATATTCTGTTTTTGCAAACAATCGGCGCATTTCGAACGAATAGATGATATTTTTACGATATTTAGATTTTTAAAATAGTCTTCCTTATGATCGATATTTCTATCGAGATCATGCATTAATACCACCTCCTGCTGGTGAATAGGTTCGGGGCGTAGTGTGAACTGATCAATCACTTTACCCACTAATTCCATTAAACACTAATCACAGCAACTATATGGATTCCTGTACCATTTCTACTACACAATGTCTGAAACGATAGCGAGAACGAACACAACCAAAGTGGTACTGATTTCCTATAGATTAAATCTACCAATCATGGTATTTATCCATAAATTTTTATGCTTAATTATTGACTCACCAACTTCTTGAATGCCGATCAAACAATTATGGAATTTGTTATTCTCAGCTAATTCTAATATCAGTTTGCATATTGCATGTCTAAGCCCGGCCCTACATGTAAGTCTGGTCAGTATGTGTCTCTTAAACAACACCACTCCCGAAATCTTTCTTGATACGGGGGTCATTCAAATACAAGTATCTGGAATATTAGTTCCAATATGGCTGCCACGACAGCCATGTTGAAAATGATATCTGTTACACTATATCAGTTAACACATCCAGAAACAGGTTTTAAACATGGTGTCAGTCAGCAAATCACATTTTTTCAAACAGGTAAACTATTATAAACCATGACATAATTATTGCCCAATCCTAATACTGTAAAATTATCCAAAATGAGCTACGGTGCCTTTGTATGTGTCATCAGGTTTTAGGCTACAAAGCTTGGCTACAAGGCTACATTGCTTGGACCCCCTTCAAGTATCTGTCTAATTAGTGCAGTGAGGGACATGGGTATTTAGATCGATGTAGGACATAGATAAATCGTGATAGATTGTCTGGCATAAATACATTAGTGAGATTTCTGGCATGGATACAATGTAGTTAGTGACACATTGTAATTAGTACATTGTGCTATCTGGACACATTATATGCACTGCAATGTGCGATATAGGCAAGTTCAACTTTGTGTGATGTCTCACATGGACTACTTCCATGTGTCATAATGGTGCATTGTAATTAGTACAATGTACAACTGGATACATCATAATTATGCAATGTGCGATCTATATACATTGTAATTCGGACGATGTGTGACATAGACGTGTTAGGATTACTGCGATGTGTCGTAATGAAACATGTATTGTACGTTGTATATAGTGAGTTGTGTGGCAAGTCTTACATTGTATCTATTTAATAAGGGTAGACATCTATTCTGACACTGAATAGCTTCCAACACACGAAGTAGCAGACTTGTTGAGAGTTGTTTGAAGATCTGATTCCCCCGAAGATCTTGACTCTGCAATATTCCCCCAGCCCGATATTTAAAAGCACTCTCTTACAGTACGACAGAAATGTATGCTGTTTGTCGAACCTATCCAGATCTGGTAGAATATATTGTAGGCGTTGTCATGGGCGCCTTCAGTTGGTTTACAGGACTCAGTGATCGACAAATAATTGTTTCCTGAGTAGCAGTTCCAACAGAACGGACACATTATATGCAAATACGCCCCGCTTTGTTCGTCTTGTTAGGGATGTTGGAACATCCACACTGGTCACTCTGCGGCCCTTGAGCTGTCCAGTCAAGGGCTGTGGAGACTAATACTGGGACGTTATAGATCAGGTGCATGGTGCTCGTCACGTGATGCGATTGTCTCTCGGTAATAACACCCTTAAACCGTTGAAGAAGATGTGTGCCTTAGCTTGTATATATGAGATAGGCCATGGGTGATAAATTAGATTTAAATAAAAAGTCATCTGAGGTTGTAACCGTTTGTAGCTGGGCTCGCCTGGCGAAATTATTAGCTTTCATTTTGTACGTTTAAGCTCATGGTATCGTACGTGATCACGTCTTTACGTGGATATACTCAAACAAATGTGATTTAATCATTTACTTAGCTTTATTCGTCTATATTTTATTATTTGTTTGCAATTATATATCTACAATGCCATTACCTCATATACTTGTCGATGTCCGTTCTCCTAACAGTGACAGTCGCGGCTGTAGCGTCTCTACGTTCACAGTTTCTATACAGAACATACAAATTGTCCTGTTGTATACCTTAACAAAACAGCCAGGATCATAAATATTTTGGGGGAAATGTTTCTGAAATTGAAATTGTGTGCTCAGTCTTTGCTACCAATAACCCCAAAATATTCACGATCGTAACGCTTTTCGCCAGTAATTACATAGTATAGGCACGGGAACCGTTATGACAGTATTCTTCATTGACCTCATACACCCTGGAAACCAGAACCTCAGGTAGGAAATAGAAACTGACATATTTTCTACATCAACAACTTTCAGTTTACTTTAAGACCTGCTCATGTTTGATGCCCAAATCCCTATTCCATCCATATCTCTGTCGAGAAGTGACGGGATACTTTAGGAAACTTTATGGTATAAAAGTTTAACTGTGATAAATCATTAGGTGACCGGCTCGTATTTCAAACCCTTGCCTCCCGAGTGACCCTCCCATAATAACTACTTATGGTTGACCAGAGAAGAGTCATGTGACAAATGTTCTTCCACTTGTTTGCAAAGACATTTTACACACGGGGTTGGGTTCAGACTGAAGTCAAGCTAACATTAAGTGTACAGTGGTGTAGGCAGATAGGCTATACCGACCAATTAAGAAACCTGTGGATGTTCGAGACGCTTGTCGCGGCTATGACATTGGAGACGTGTACGTCGACGGTTGTCTCAACTGTACACTCACTCATTGTCTCTGACTTCACTGGTTTTCCCTCATCGTGCCAAACATTAAAACATATTTTATAGATTCATGGTGCTTCTTGTTTTGCATTCCAAACTCGGAGTTACGTGTGACGAAAGGAACAATATTGGTTTTGTCGACTTGATGAGCGCATTACGACACTTTTCACGATATAAAATCAAAGAAATTGGATGAGGTATTGCAAATGTATATATTTTTCATAATCATAATTTTATCTCAATCCCAAATTTGAAAAACGTGACAGCGGCAAACCTGAAATGATAAGGTAATACATCTATATGTAGCGGCCATAATATGTGTACTGGGATTCGAACCACGATCTTCTCATCCGAAGGCAACCTGCCTTGTCGACATAACCAAAGAGTTATCCATCATCTGCAAATTGACATGGTAAGGATGTCATCTATAGGATGACCCAACACCCTGCTATCTATATTTGATTTAATCAAAATTCAGAACAAATTATTCTATGCAGGTACAGTTGTCATTGTTAACTGCAGGGTATTAATATTCTCAAAACAGTATGACATGTTATTATAAATCTGTGATATGATTTAGTCACGATATGGCTGAAATATTGCCGATGTGACTTAAAATCTTAACTCATTATTATGACACGTCCTTTACTAGTGGCAGTTCGAACCCACTGGCAGAACTATACCTGTGCTCATGTAGGGTTACCTCCATCACTAACATGTAGGGCTTTCTTTCAATACAGGACCTGATATAACAGTAAATCAATAGTCACTCACTCACTCTGGTTCTGTAGTGAGTGAGTGAGTTTAGTTTTACGAGCACTCAGCAATATTCCAGCTATATGGCGGTTGTCTGTAAATAATAGAGTCTGGACTAGACAATCCAGTGATCAACAGCATGAGCATCGATCTGCGCCATAGGGAACCGATGACATGTGACAACCAAGTCAGCGAGCCTGACCACCCAGTCCCGTTAGTCGCCTCTTACAACAAGCATGGGTTGCTGAAAACCTATTCTACCCTTGATTCTGTCTCTGTACAGACATCCAACAAAAGTACAGCCAACAACTTGTGACAATGGTATCATTTATTGGCTTAGTGGACAAGTGGATGCTCCATACACCGACCACATCACTGGTACAAAGTCCATTAGATGTGTATCAGTACATTCAAAACACATAATTCACATGTATATTGTTTCAGGATAAGATTTTTTTTCAGTCATGAAAAGATATTAATTATAAAAAATTCTAGTCATAATTATGACATTCCACCTGGTATTATGTTGGTTTCTTACATACTTTCAAAATAAATACAAAGAAACACCAATGTGTCTCACATTATATTCATGTTTGTGAAATGATGTGATAATCAGGGGTTGTCTCCCTTCTTACAGTAACACTCATGGGGCAACTGCTCTATCCCACAGTCTCTGCCCAGTCCCAACACACTGAATTTAAAAATGTATCCAGCTCAATGATTGATTGATTTGGCAAGCTAGACTGTCTGATATTAAAGACTGTTGTGGGGACCATTTGGATGATATTTTGTAGATATATTTGTAATAAGATAACTATATTCCAGGGACTAAATGTTCATCTACTACAAATGTCCCAGAAACAAATAATCATTTTGTTATGGCCTTACATGGATAACACAAGACTGGCACCTGGGGTCGATCTCACCCCCAACCCATCCTGTAGACTGTGAATTACAACAGAACCCAGCACTTGTAAACAAACAGTACTTTGTATATTGTGTAAGGGAGACAACACATACAACACATGGCAATATTCTCTCTGTTGATGTAAATATGGAAATAGATATACTCACTCTCTATCAAGTACACATGAATTAAGACTAACACTACTGCAAAGACACTGAGGCCATCACTAATATAGAGCATCTTTTGATTGATACAGTTACATGTAGGCCATTCATCAGAGGTACACCATTCATGTTACACTTGTAACCAGGGATGGAAATAACCCATTGCCCGACGTCTGAGTCCAGTGTTTTTTTTCTGTCGGGCAAGCAAATTTGTATATCACACTGTACCGGTATCCAGTTGACTTTCCAATGGTAATTATGTTGTTTATTTAAAAAATCAGCGAGAAAACGGTCGGTATAGTGGAGAAATTATCAGGGCACGTGACTTTACATGTGCCACTGTACCGGGAGTACACTAGCAATTTTAAAGTTATTTCCACCCCTGGTAACACACTGTGCTATCTTTCATCAGAGGCTATACTCTTATGGATTCTGTAACAACACTCACTGAACCACATCCTTATTCTAAAAAGTGCATTTATCACTTTTAAATCTACATATAATTCTTAAAGCAACTTTCCAGGATGTGTTGACTTTTTGCTGTCACATGAATGTTGCACTGAAAGGTTTGCAGATAAAGAAATACAGGAAGGCTGGGAAGTCAATCCTACCCTGTCTCTCCCGTGTCATCTAACTTATAATAAAAGAGTCCCATTTTGTTGGCTGGGAAAGTTTACAATGGTAATGACTCATAATGTACACAGTCTTCTAGGTCATTATCAGCAAACACCCTCACACCCCACTTAGGTCAACATGACTCAGAAATGGGATATGTTTGACATAATATCACACTTACTTCTTAAGGTGGAAGTCTGAAATGTACATTCACAATACAAGCAATATACCACAAGGTTTGTCAGTGGGAGTTTCTTTACATATTGTACCCATGTACCCATGTTGGGAATAAAACACAGAATTTTGGCAATATAGGGAAACACTTTAACCATTGAGCTACCCTACTGGTTGTCAGATACTAGCCAGCAAACATTTCTCCAATCTGTGATCACTTTTCAATATAAATGGCGGACATGATTTTATGTGTATCAAATTTAGATTTTATAAAATTTCCATTAGAGACCTGTGTAACTTTGTCTGACTGTTGTATTGATAGAATCACTTCTAGGAGGAGTATTGTTTAAATGATATACATCAAGGGTGTTTTTGATAAAGCTATGTCCTCCCCAACATGACACAAACAATCTGTATCTATGGTGTATGTGTTGTATAATACATATGAATAAGTGTGTGTATATATATGATTTGAGACAACATAAGCTGAGGCTGATGTACAACAATCTTCGGACATAGAATCTGGACGGATGGTCAAATATCAGAGTTAAAATATATATAACTTTGGCAGAAAATAAATAGATGACTTTGAGTGTTAAAAACATGTGACAAACTCTAAAACTATAAATAAGTGTCATTATCACAAATTTCTTCTGACGATGTTCAATTTGATGATGTTAATAAAATAATAGACTGAACATTGAAATTAAAAATTTCAACATATATAAATCATAAATCTGTTTATATATATTATTGATATAACCATATACAATACTGTTCTATTCAATAAATAAACAATGCAATAACAAAGATATATGAAAAGTGTCTTTCGTAATCTTGCATAAAAATATCACAGTTTAAAAGAAATCTCTTTGTCAAACACTTGCTGAAAATGAAGCAGTCAAGGGGGAATAACTTTCAAGGTGTGAAATTAACTCCCTTTGATTATCATCCATGCTACTGCTTTGACTGAGTGAGAGTTCAGTCAGTTGGTCGGTCAGGACAGTCAATAGTGTTATCAATCCGCTGCCAAGCCTGATCAATTTAGAACAAAACCTTTGTGAAATTGTCATCACACAAACTGAGGTGTAACAATCACAATCAAGGGAACTCCTGCAACTGAAATCATTAAGAGCACAGACAGCTTGAGCTATGAATCAGGTTGTTAATGATGGTAAGATGAGGACAAAACTAAATTCAGTTTTTAAATTTGCTTACAAGTATCCAAAGTATCAATTTCAGATGCAGTTAGTCATGTTCATAAATGGAAAGGACTTCAGGAAATTGTGTTACTATGTTGGTTTTACATTTAATTGCAAAAGCTGCATTTTGATATTCCTGGAAGAGTTCAAACATAGATGGGATATCTGAAAATTGTCCTGTATCTATAGTAACAACGTATACATTTCCAGCTGATGAATCAACACCTAGTTTTCCTCAGGAGGGACTACCACCATCATATCATGGCCATGGTGGCTGATGCAGTATCAGTCTTGGAAGATTGGAGTGACAAGTGAAGTGTATCTTGGTGACGTCATGTCCTACACCAACACCACCATCTTCCTGATCTGTGACAACTCCTTCCTCAGCTGGTCCTCCAACAGTTTCCGCCTTCCCTCCATCACAGTCTTCATGTTGCTGATGCTCTCGTGGACCGTGGAAAATCCTTCTCGACACTCACGTTTCAATTTGGCGAGTTCCTCATTCAGGCGGCGAATGTCAGCCTCGATACGCGCCAACAGCTTGCTCTCAATGTGCTGCAGGAAATTATGTACTCTCAGCATATTTACATATTTTCAATATGAAGTTACATTGGCTGGTTTTGCACAAACAATGTTTTCAGCATCATTACATTTATTATGTACATTAATGTATTTCCCACAATTCATAAAACAGCAATTCAACAAATTTCAGATGGCATGCAGATGGGGTCTAAAGTGATGGATTGAGGCAGAGAGGGGGTGTAATGTGAAGTTTAAACATCATAGTTTGCAATTTAAAGGAGGCTGGGTGTTGGTGTGGGTGTGGGTGAAAAGGTTTGGGGAATCTGTGTGTAGGCGTAATGGCTCGGGTATAAAAGAGGTAAGGTTTAAGTGTCATGGCTTGGGGTTTAAAGGTGAGAAGGTGTAACATATGTTATATTTGGGATTACACTTTCTTAGTAAAGTACAGATTCTAGTACTTTGTTGGGCTGAGTCCAATCTGGGATTCGAACCCACACCCTCAGAGTCAGGCACCTAATCGTCAGCACACAAAGTCAGCCGCCTTAACCTGCTCAGCCACCGCAACTTCCACAAAATGGAAAGGAAGGGGTAGTTATCATGGTTTGGGGCTTAAAGGTGTATGGGTGAAGGTGTCATGGTTTCAGCTTTAATAGTTTCAGTAAGGGAATCTTGGTGTAGGGATATGGGCGTGGTTGTATGCTTTCTGGTAGACTGTGCAGGTGTTAAAGGGAGGTTATGGTTGGAGGGGTTACAGGGAAGGTGTTGGTGTAGGGTTACAGGGAAGGTGTTGGGGGAAGGTGTTTAGGGTTACAGGGAAGGTGTTGGTTACAGGGGAAGGTGTTGATGGGGTTACAGGGAAGGTGTTGATGTAGGGTTACAGGGGGAAGGTGTTGATGTAGGGTTACAGGGAAGGTGTTGGTGTAGGGTTACAGGGAAGGTGTTGATGTAGGGTTACAGGGAAGGTGTTGGTGTAGGGTTACAGGGAAGGTGTTGGTGTAGGGTTACAGGGAAGGTGTTGGTGTAGGGTTACAGGGAAGGTGTTGATGTAGGGTTACAGGGAAGGTGTTGGTGTAGGGTTACAGGGAAGGTGTTGGTGTAGGGTTACAGGGAAGGTGTTGGTGTAGGGTTACAGGGAAGGTGTTGGTGTAGGGTTACAGGGAAGGTGTTGGTGTAGGGTTACAGGGTTGAAGGTGTTGGTGTGTAGGGTTACAGGGAAGGTGTTGGTGTAGGGTTACAGGGAAGGTGTTGGTGTAGGGTTACAGGGAAGGTGTTGGTGTAGGGTTACAGGAAGGTGTTGTGTAGGTGTTACAGGGAAAGGTTTGACTGTAGGGTTACAGGGAAAGGTGTTGGTGTAGGTTACAGGGAAGGTGTTGGTGTAGGGTTACAGGGGGAAGGTGTTGGTGTAGGGTTACAGGGAAGGTGTTGGTGTAGGGTTACAGGGAAGGTGTTGTTGTGTAGGGTTACAGGGGGAAGGTGTGGTGTAGGGTTACAGGTGTTGGTGTAGGTGTTGGTGTAGGGTTACAGGGAAGGTGTTGGTGTAGGGTTACAGGGAAGGTGTTACAGGGAAGGTGTTGGTGTAGGGTTAGGGGAAGGAAGGTGTTGATGTAGGGTTACAGGGAAGGTGTTGGTGTAGGGTTACAGGGAAGGTGTTGGTGTAGGGTTACAGGGAAGGTGTTGGTGTAGGGTTACAGGGAAGGTGTTGATGTAGGGTTACAGGGAAGGTGTTGGTGTAGGGTTACAGGGAAGGTGTTGGTGTAGGGTTACAGGGAAGGTGTTGGTGTAGGGTTACAGGGAAGGTGTTGGTGTAGGGTTACAGGGAAGGTGTTGGTGTAGGGTTACAGGGAAGGTGTTGATGTAGGGTTACAGGGAAGGTGTGTTGGTGTTGGTGTAGGGTTACAGGGAAGGGTGTTGGTGTAGGGGGGAAGGTGTTGGTGTAGGGTTACAGGGAAGGTGTTGGTGGGTTACAGGGGTTTGCAGGGAAGGTGTTGGTGTAGGGTTACAGGGGAAGGTGTTGGTGTAGGGTTACTGGGAAGGTGTTGCATGTGCTGTGTAGGTTACAGGTAAGGTGTTGGTGTAGGGTTACAGGTAAGGTGTTGGTGTAGGGTTACAGGGAAGGTGTTGGTGTAGGGTTACTGGGAAGGTGTGGTGTTGGTGTAGGGTTACAGGGAAGGTGTTGGTGTAGGGTTACAGGGAAGGTGTTGGTGTAGGGTTACAGGGAAGGTGTTGGTGTAGGGTTACTGGGAAGGTGTGGTGTTGGTGTAGGGTTACAGGGATGGTGTTGGTGTACGGTTTACAGGGAAGGTGTTGGTGTAGGGTTACAGGGAAGGTGTTGATGTAGGGTTACAGGGACGGTGTTAGGGTCTTGGTGTGGTGTAAAGGGTGTCTGGGTGTACTCACTGCTTGCAAGTCAGTGTAGTGGTTGCGATCCTCCAACAAGGCTTCCTCCAGCTTTTGTATGCGAATCTCCAACATGTACATGTTGTCATCTATCTTCTTGTCGATCTTCTCCTGTGGAGCAACCAATCAGCAAAGTTAGCTCTGTAGTGCATGGTGGAGATGATAACAAAGCTTACTAAGTTACTACATACTCACGAACTATGGTTAGGCATGGCTGTTCCATAAGAATATAACATAACATTAATAGAATGTTATCAAATGTGTTCTCCCAATAATAAGAACAACTCACGATCATGAGGTCTCGTGTGCCACCAGCCTTCTCAATCAGACTGATTATTCTCTGTTCCATGCGTTCCCTTTCAGCCTCAGCGGAGCTTGCCACAGTCGTGATGGTGTTCTTCAGGTCTTCAATCATTTGTCGTGTTTTACTGTCCAACATGGAGAGGTTATTGTTTGTGTCCCCCTCCAAGTGCTGAAACTTGATCCGACTCTCGCCTGTTACCTTCTCCATTGCATTCGTCATGGACACCAACTGCAGTAAGAGGAAAAGGGTCAAGGTCACTGTCCAGCATACAGGGTTGTTTCCCCTTCCTTTTTTATGGTGTTGTGTAGAAGCTATGTTGGTGTAGAGTCACGTTCGTAACGCTAAGATTATCGTAACTCCCATACCTTAACATAGACGTACGACTGTCATAGCGCTATGATTGCTTTGAGGAACAGGGCCCTGGTGCCATGTAGAAGCTGTCTTGGTGTATAGTCACCTGGTGTTGTGTAGAAGGTATCTTGGTGTAGAGACACCAGACTCACCTGAGACTGTCCATCTAACAGTGTTTTGTAGATGCCATCTTGGTGTATAGTAACCTGGTGTTGTGTAGAAGCAATCTTGGTGTATAGACACCTGACTCACCTGAGACTGTCCATCAAACAGTGTTGTGTAGATGCTATCTTGGTGTATAGTCACCTGGTGTTGTGTAGAAGCTATCTTGGTGTATAGACACCTGACTCACCTGAGACTGTCCATCAATAGAAACAGTGTTGTGTAGATGCTATCTTGGTGTATAGTCACCTGGTGTTGTGTAGAAGCTATCTTGGTGTATAGACACCTGACTCACCTGAGACTGTCCATCTAACACAGTGTTGTGTAGATGCTATCTTGGTGTATAGTCACCTGGTGTTGTGTAGATGCTATCTTGGTGTATAGACACCTGGTGTTGTGTAGATGCTATCTTGAATGTATAACTCACCTGCATGTGTAGATGCCCAAACACCTGGTGTTGTGTAGATGCCATCCACCAAACCCAAATTGCCAACTGTGTTTGATCTTGGTGTATAGACACCTGACTCAACATGAGACTGTCCATCTCAAATTTGAGTGTAATTCTAACTGCTATCTTGGTGTATAGTCAGACTGTTGTGGAGAAGTTTATCTTGGTGTATAGGCCTGTTGTGTGGATGCTATCTTGGTGTATAGACACCTGACTCACCTGAGACTGTCCATCAAACACAGTGTTTTGTAGATGCCATCTTGGTGTATAGTCACCTGGTGTTGTGTAGAAGGTATCTTGGTGTATAGACACCTGACTCACCTGAGACTGTCCATCAAACACAGTGTTTTGTAGATGCCATCTTGGTGTATAGACACCTGGTGTTGTGTAGATGCTATCTTGGTGTATAGACACCTGGTGTTGTGTAGATGCTATCTTGGTGTATAGTCACCTGGTGTTGTGTAGAAGCTATCTTGGTGTAGAGACACCTGACTGACCTGAGATTCTATTCCATGCATGCGCTCCATGAGGCCGGTTTGCAGCTGCTGCTGCTGACTTGACAAAGCACGGATGGAGTCGAAGGATGTGCGCATGTCCACGCTGAGTTTGGCAATAGCTGTATCACAGCGGACAATACGACCTCGGAGGTCTGATAAACTGGTGACATGATGCATCTCGATACTCTTGACAGCATTGTTGGTCCCCAACGCTGCAGAGTCCCGGGCTTTGATGTTCTCCTCTAATACCTGAAATAGGAAAAACAAGTCATTACAAGTTGATGAATAGACCATGTAGTCTCATGCAGGCACTGTACAGGGTCTGTTTGGTGTGGGGACAGAGCCTGCAGTGACTGTAGTTGTGTTTGGGCACTGTACAGGGTCTGTTTGGTGTGGGGACAGAGCCTGGAGAGACTGTAGTTGTGTTAGGGCACTGTACAGGGTCTGTTTGGTGTGGGGACAGAGCCTGGAGAGACTGTAGTTGTGTTAGGGCACTGTACAGGGTCTGTTTGGTGTGGGGACAGAGCCTGGAGGTGTTTCAAAGTCACAGGACATGTAGTTTCAGATGTTAGGGCACTGTACAGGGTCTGTTTGGTGTGGGGACAGAGCCTGGAGAGACTGTAGTTGGCTAATTGTGTTAGGGCACTGTACAGGGTCTGTTTGGTGTGGGGACAGAGCCTGGAGAGACTGTAGTTGTGTTAGGGCACTGTACAGGGTCTGTTTGGTGTGGGGACAGAGCCTGGAGAGACTGTAGTTGTGTTAGGGCACTGTACAGGGTCTGTTTGGTGTGGGGACAGAGCCTGGAGAGACTGTAGTTGTGTTAGGGGACACCTGTACAGGGTCTGTTTGGTGTGGGGACAGAGCCTGGAGAGACTGTAGTTATGTTAGGGCACTGTACAGGGTGTGTTTGGTGTGGGTGTGTGTTAGGGCACTGTACAGTCTGTTTGGTGTGGGGACAGAGCCTGGAGAGACTGTAGGTGTGTTAGGGGACAGAGCCTGGAGAGACTGTAGTTGTGTTAGGGCACTGTACAGGGTCTGTTTGGTGTGGGGACAGAGCCTGGAGAGACTGTAGTTGTGTTAGGGCACTGTACAGGGTCTGTTTGGTGTGGGGACAGAGCCTGGAGAGACTGTAGTTGTGTTAGGGCACTGTACATGGTCTGTTTGGTGTGGGGACAGAGCCTGGAGAGCCTGTAGTTGTGTTAGGGCACTGTACAGGGCTTTTTGGTGTTGGATGTAATTGTGGTAAGGCACTGTACAGGGTCTGTAGGAGGAAAGCCAAGGATATAGTGTTATCAACATGTTCTCTGCTTCTATACATGCTGCATTACCATAAAGCAGGTTGACCTGTGGACGTAAAACAAGCAGCAAGATTTATTGTCACTGCATTAGGATATCTGTATAGGTAGCTGTCAGTGTTTAGTGTAATATGGGGTGTTCCAAGAATGGTCTGTACAAAGTTTCTGGCTGATTGCCAATGCCAGTGACATGCTTTTACCGGGGTATATACAGACTCAATAATCTCCATATACATATAACCCTTAGATGTGCTATAGGACAGGTCACGATTACCCTCTGTACATCCCATACTACAGGCGGTCACATTTGTAGCTTATACCCACACTTGACGTACACCCGATACAACAGGTGGCCACATCTGTAGTAGATAGCAACACACTACATACACCCCATACTACAGGTGGTCACATCTATAGCAGATCTAACATCTGTAGTAGATAGCAACACACTACATACTACAGGTGGTCACATTTGTAGCTTATACCCACACATGACGTACACCCGATACAACAGGTGGCAACACATGTAGCACATAGCTCCACCAGCTGTACACTCCATACTACAGGTGGTCACATCTGTAGTAGATCTAACATCTGTAGTAGATACACTACATACACCCCATACTACAGGTGGTAACATCTGTAGCAGATAGCGACACACTACATACACCCCATACTACAGGCATACACCCCATACTACAGGTGGTCTGTAGTAGATAGCACACACTACACACCCCATACTACAGGCATTCACATCATACTACAGGTGGTCACATCTGTAGTAGATAGGCACATACACCCCATACTAGTAGATGGTCAACTGTACACTAAATACATACACCCCATACTACAGGTGGTCACATCTGTAGTAGTAGATAGCAACATACTACACTACAGTACACACCCCATACACCCCCATACAGGTGGTCACATCTGTAGTAGATAGCAACAGACTACATACACCCCATACTACAGGTGGTCACATCTGTAGTAGATAGCAACACACTACATACACCCCATACTACAGGTGGTCACATCTGTAGTAGATAGCAACAAACTACATACACCCCATACTACAGGTGGTCACATCTGTAGTAGATAACAACAACTACATACACCCCATACTACAGGTGGTCACATCTGTAGTAGATAGATACATACACCCCATACTACAATCAGTAGATGTAACATACATACACCCCATACAGGTGGTCACATCTGTAGTAGATAGCAACACACTACATACACCCCATACTACAGGTGGTCACATCTGTAGTAGATAGCAACAAACTACATACACCCCATACTACAGGTGGTCAGGTCACATCTCTGTAGTAGATAGCAACAAACACTACATACACCCCATACTACAGGTGGTCACATCTGTAGTAGATAACATGACACTACATACACCAAACCATACTACAGGTGGTCACATCTGTAGTAGATAGCTAACACACCTACATACACCCCATACTACAGGTGGTCACATCTGTAGTAGATAGCAACAACACTACATACACCCCAGATACAAACTACAGGTGGTCACATCTGTAGTAGATAGCAACACACTACATACACCCCATACTACAGGCATTCACATCATACTACAGGTGGTCACATCTGTAGTAGATAGCAACACACATACACCCCATACTACAGGTGGTCACATCTGTAGTAGATAGCAACACACTACATACACCCCATACTACAGGTGGTCACATCTGTAGTAGATAGCAACACACTACATACACCCCATACTACAGATGGTCACATCTGTAGTAGATAGCAACACACTACATACACCCCATACTACAGGTGGTCACATCTGTAGTAGATAGCAACAAACTACATACACCCCATACTACAGGTGGTCACATCTGGTGGTCACATCTGTAGATAGCAACAAACTACATACACCCCATACAGGTGGTCAGTGGTCACATACAGGTGGTCACATCTGTAGCAGGTAGCATACACCCCACACCACAGGTGGTCACATATGTAGTAGGTAGCAACATACGCTACACTACAGGTGGTCACATCTGTAGCAGATCTCACATCTGTAGCAGGTACCTATATGCGACATACACCCCACACTACAGGTAGTTAAATGTGAAGGTTTTATGGACAGTAAAACTATTTCCAGTTAATGGACACCCCAATGACATCTCCACCAACAAATACTCACGGCAATGTCATGGTTTAACCTGTTGACCACGGAGGTGATGTTGCGAATGTGTTCCTGGAGATGTGCCCGAGCAGTTCTTCTCATCCTGCCATGTTCCCTGACTAAAGTTCAGACTCTCAATGACATCTTCCTTTATCTTAAATGCCCGCTCGATCAGTCCCTGAGTGTTGCGCTCCTGCTGTGCCAGCCTCTCTGCCAACATGTCCAGATGCTGATGGGAAGGGCCGTTGTCGTAGTGCACAATCTCTGTGGGGACACTCTGAACTGCCTGTGCCGGCTGCATCACCTGCACTGCCGGCTTGCATCATCTGCATTTGCTGCTGCGCATACTGTTCATCCACAATCTGGGGGAGGGCTTGTAGAGTACGGGGGGACCCCATCCCCCCCACGCTGATGGCGGTGTACTCCTGATTGGTGTCATAGGGGGCCCGGATGTACGGCAGCTTTCGCTTTGTGGTCGTCAGACTCATCGGGGAGGCTCTGTGTAATAACAGACATGGTTTAACTTCAAAGTCACTTTAAAACAACCAGACTGTCTAAACAACATAGCCTATTCCATCATCTGCAGCCCTGGGAAGTTCTGTTTCAAATTTGGTCAAAATCATTTACAAATAACCATTCATTACAGGATCTTTCAAAATCAGCCAGTTGATGACCACTCGAGCAGGAAACTGATCTGTTTACATTAAAACGGGTATGGAAAGCAACTATGAACATAATTTAGGTTATGTTATGGAGTGTAAGCTACATAGAAGAAGAGCCTCAAGTCATGCAGCTCTACACTTTGGTGAAACATATATTGGTATAAGTGACAAATCTAGAACTATATTCATGGTGAATCTGGATAACATGTTCAAGGGAGGCAACTCCACATACTTTAGGTGCAAGGTATGGGTGCTACACTTGCGATAATGCAGTTAATCTTAAATCTAACAATTATTGGGTATAATATAGTCCATGACCCTTGCACAGAATAAAGATATTTATGTTTGTGAAAAACATAAACACAAAAGTCATAATTTAATTTAGGTATTACACATATCAAATAGCCAATCTCGTTCATATTAAGGCTGTAGTCATCATAACGTTGATATTTTCCAAAACTAAAACATAAAATAAGGCTCCACATAACTCAGCAAGACCTTTAAAATGAGATAGCTTTTTGTTCTTTGTATTAATATGCTCCACCTAAGGATGCCCTACATGACTTCTACACAACCTTATGCATTGATGGCCCTGGGTCAGAATGACTTGGACAAGACAGAGAGAATAAGTGTAGAAGTGAGCACACCTCACATAACCCAGCTTCCCACTTTGGGACATGGAAAGGACAGATATTGATATATATAATGTGACAAGGATCAGCAGTTCACAAGACTTTCTCCTTGACTGTACTAAACTTTATATACATGTTAGATAATAGTTTTGCCATGTACTGATTACAGTAATAGTTTATGGAAGCATTATTTTTTGTGTTTTCCAAGGAAACCTGACATACAATTGAACTTGTTGCACACAATGAAGTGGGCGTAGATGAAGATTGTTATTTTTAGCTCATGGCATGTCTGATTAACTTGTGCATTAAGTTTGGTGAACCTAGCATGTATAGTTTCGATGATATGCTGTGGCCAGGTAACCATCAAACATATTTTTGCACCAAGTCATGTTTCCATGGAAACAACAACAAAACAAATTCTGAAAAAACTTTAAAATAGCAAAAGGCACATCAGTGGGTAATGATTAACATGTGTGTGAAGTTCGTGAACCTAGCATGTAAACTTTAAGAGATATGCTCCGGACAAAACCATCAAACACATTTGGCACCAAGTCGTTGTTTCTATGGAAACAACAAAAAACACGCCACAACCCACGCCACTACCCTGACCTGCATCAGGACAAGTCACTTTACATTTCATTATGATAGTGCACACATTCCCTTCTGAATATATGTTAAAGTATAGATAATGTAGCAACTTTTTTAGTATATACCAATCTATATATCTCTGTATATATCTGGGGTTGTAACATAATCAACCTTGTCACTAGGTACATATCTAGGGTTGTAACATAACCAACCTTGTCACTAGGTACATATCTGGGGTTGTAGCATAACCAACCTTGTCACTAGGTACATGCCTGGGGTTGTAGCATAACCAACCTTGTCACTAGGTACATACCTGGGGTTTGTAACAGAACCAACCTTGTCACTAGCTACATATCTGGGGTTGTAACAGAACCAACCTTGTCACTAGCTACATATCTGGGGTTGTAACATAACCAACCTTGTCACTAGGTACATGCCTGGGGTTGTAACAGAACCAACCTTGTCACTAGCTACATATCTGGGGTTGTAACAGAACCAACCTTGTCACAAGGTACATGCCTGGGGTTGTAGCATAACCAACCTTGTCACTAGCTACATATCTGGGGTTGTAACAGAACCAACCTTGTCACTAGCTACATATCTGGGGTTGTAACAGAACCAACCTTGTCACTAGCTACATATCTGGGGTTGTAACAACAGGAACCAACCTTGTCACTAGCTACATATCTGGGGTTGTAACATAACCAACCTTGTCACAAGGTACATGCCTGGGGTTGTAGCATAACCAACCTTGTCACTAGCTACATATCTGGGGTTGTAACAGAACCAACCTTGTCACTAGCTACATATCTGGGGTTGTAACAGAACCAACCTTGTCACTAGCTACATGCCTGGGGTTGTAACATAACCAACCTTGTCACTAGGTACATATCTGGGGTTGTAACATAACCAACCTTGTCACTAGGTACATGCCTGGGGTTGTAGCATAACCAACCTTGTCACTAGCTACATATCTGGGGTTGTAACAGAACCAACCTTGTCACTAGGTACATATCTGGGGTTGTAACATAACCAACCTTGTCACTAGGTACATATCTGGGGTTGTAACAGAACCAACCTTGTCACTAGGTACATACCTGGGGTTTGTAGCATAACCAACCTTGTCACTAGGTACATATCTGGGGTTGTAACAGAACCAACCATGTCACAAGGTACATACCTGGGGTTGTAACATAACCAACCATGTCACTAGCTACATACCTGGGGTTGTAACATAACCAACCTTGTCACTAGATACATATCTGGGGTTGTAACATAACCAACCTTGTCACTAGCTACATACCTGGGGTTGTAACATAACCAACCATGTCACTAGGTACATACCTGGGGTTGTAACATAACCAACCTTGTCACTAGGTACATGCCTGGGGTTGTAACATAACCAACCTTGTCACTAGGTACATATCTGGGGTTGTAACAGAACCAACCTTGTCACTAGCTACATACCTGGGGTTGTAACAGAACCAACCTTGTCACTAGGTACATACCTGGGGTTGTAACATAACCAACCTTGTCACTAGGTACATACCTGGGGTTGTAACATAACCAACCTTGTCACTAGGTACATATCTGGGGTTGTAACATAACCAACCTTGTCACTAGGTACATACCTGGGGTTGTAACATAACCAACCTTGTCACTAGGTACATACCTGGGGTTGTAACAGAACCAACCTTGTCACTAGGTACATACCTGGGGTTGTAACATAACCAACCTTGTCACTAGGTACATATCTGGGGTTGTAACATAACCAACCTTGTCACTAGGTACATACCTGGGGTTGTAACATAACCAACCTTGTCACTAGGTACATATCTGGGGTTGTAACATAACCAACCTTGTCACTAGGTACATACCTGGGGTTGTAACATAACCAACCTTGTCACTAGGTACATATCTGGGGTTGTAACATAACCAACCTTGTCACTAGGTACATATCTGGGGTTGTAACATAACCAACCTTGTCACTAGGTACATACCTGGGGTTGTAACATAACCAACCTTGTCACTAGGTACATACCTGGGGTTGTAACATAACCAACCTTGTCACTAGGTACATATCTGGGGTTGTAACATAACCAACCTTGTCACTAGGTACATATCTGGGGTTGTAACATAACCAACCTTGTCACTAGGTACATACCTGGGGTTGTAACATAACCAACCTTGTCACTAGGTACATATCTGGGGTTGTAACATAACCAACCTTGTCACTAGGTACATATCTGGGGTTGTAACATAACCAACCTTGTCACTAGGTACATACCTGGGGTTGTAGCATAACCAACCTTGTCACTAGGTACATACCTGGGGTTGTAACATAACCAACCTTGTCACTAGGTACATACCTGGGGTTGTAACATAACCAACCTTGTCACTAGGTACATACCTGGGGTTGTAACATAACCAACCTTGTCACTAGGTACATACCTGGGGTTGTAGCATAACCAACCTTGTCACTAGGTACATACCTGGGGTTGTAACATAACCAACCTTGTCACTAGGTACATACCTGGGGTTGTAACATAACCAACCTTGTCACTAGGTACATATCTGGGGTTGTAACATAACCAACCTTGTCACTAGGTACATACCTGGGGTTGTAACATAACCAACCTTGTCACTAGGTACATACCTGGGGTTGTAACATAACCAACCTTGTCACTAGGTACATACCTGGGGTTGTAGCATAACCAACCTTGTCACTAGCTACATGCCTGGGGTTGTAACATAACCAACCTTGTCACTAGGTACATATCTGGGGTTGTAACATAACCAACCTTGTCACTAGGTACATGCCTGGGGTTGTAACATAACCAACCTTGTCACTAGGTACATACCTGGGGTTGTAAACATAACCAACCTTGTCACTAGGTACATACCTGGGGTTGTAGCATAACCAACCTTGTCACTAGGTACATGCCTGGGGTTGTAACATAACCAACCTTGTCACTAGGTACATATCTGGGGTTGTAACATAACCAACCTTGTCACTAGGTACATGCCTGGGGTTGTAACATAACCAACCTTGTCACTAGGTACATATCTGGGGTTGTAACATAACCAACCTTGTCACTAGGTACATACCTGGGGTTGTAGCATAACCAACCTTGTCACTAGGTACATACCTGGGGTTGTAGCATAACCAACCTTGTCACTAGGTACATACCTGGGGTTGTAACATAACCAACCTTGTCACTAGGTACATATCTGGGGTTGTAACATAACCAACCTTGTCACTAGGTACATACCTGGGGTTGTAACATAACCAACCTTGTCACTAGGTACATACCTGGGGTTGTAACATAACCAACCTTGTCACTAGGTACATACCTGGGGTTGTAACATAACCAACCTTGTCACTAGCTACATATCTAGGTTCTACTTTACAGTCTAAATCTTCAGAATGGCTGCAACAGCTAAATAGAGTATCTGTATCAATTCACCACATCATTCATGTGAACTGGCAAAATCTGGAATGTTGTCAGTTGCTGTACTAATATGATAACACTGGTTTTCAGAAACAATAACATGTGACCAAATGCCTATGACATTGTTTCGTAAGACATCACAAATCTTCGTACAGATCCCAGAT